GGACCGGGGACCGGCAACGGGATCACAACCCTTGGCGTTGCTCCTGCGCCTCGCTCAGCCAGTGAGCGGGAACCGGTCTGTATGTGGGATCCGAACCCTCGGGCGGGAGCGCCGCCGCGCTTCCCAAGCAGCGCACTATCCAGTGCGCCACCGGGCCGGCCCACATGTTATGTTCTTATAGTTGTAAATCAGTTGATTTGTGGGAGAGAGTGACGCTAGGAACAGTCTATTCTGCCATCTTGACCGGAAGTCTGATCATAAGTCAGACATGAGTTGGGAGATCTCCTGGTCCAGCATGTCCCTCCTGGTCCAGCATGGCCCTCTCCTCCTTCAGTTTCTGAATGTCAAGTTGCAGATTCTCCTTGCTGGTCCCATCAGCCTGGCCACTTCCGACGACGGGGCCGTGCACGCACCCACAGGAAGTTACTTTTCTAAAACTAGGATATTTAACGTTTGCTTTACTGACCATTTGAAAATGGTTGATTCTCTAAGACTTTTGCACGCTAAAATCACTGTGGGCATATCCTAAAGCACAGACTCCGCAGCTTCTATCACCTGTTTGCCCAGGTGTGTGGAGCAGCCGACATAGCCGATGGTTCTAAGATACTTGTGTGTACACCGAGATGATGTGGTCAAGGACATTTGCTCTTCAGCACATGACCACATTCTTTCTATAATGATCCATGAGAGAAAATATCCTCAGGTCTTAGCACCAGAAACAACTGTGTGTAACAGCTGTTTGACCATCTAGGTTTTTTTAAAAGTGTATTTAAATTTGTTTTTAAATTATAAAAGTAATACACCTACTTGGAAAAAATTCATGGTGTAAAGGGCACATAGAGAACTTTAGTGGCACTGAAATTTAATGGCCTATTTTGGGGGGTGTTTGATGGGATCACGCTTTCTAGCCTGCATGAGCAGCACACATGTTGTGCTGGCACTAATACACCTACTTGGAAAAAATTCATGGTGTAAAGGGCACATAGAGAACTTTAGTGGCACTGAAATTTAATGGCCTATTTTTGGGGGTGTTTGATGGGATCACGCTTTCTAGCCTGCATGAGCAGCACACATGTTGTGCTGGCATTAAATATTACATAATAAAATTATACAGCTACCCTCTCTTGCTTCATAAGCACTGTGATCATTTCACTGCTCATTTCCCTTTTTGCACAGGCTGCTAGAAAGCTCAGAACCAAGCCTGCCGCCCGTCTGTCAGGAGGTGTTGCAACTTACACCATGCATTTTTTGTACCAGCCTTAGCCCTGGCTTACTTTTACTTTTCCCACACTTATTTTCCTTTAATCACAATATATTTACTTATTTTTATTTTCTATTTTCTCATATTTATGTTTTCTCATAATAAGCTGCTCCAAACCTACCTGAGAATCTCAGGGTATAAAATTTTTTAAAAGTACTAAACAGACTTCTATTTATTCAAACTCTAATATTAATGTGCAAACCCTATTGAACAGCCATGGCTCTGACCCACAGGATCACCCAGGAACTTCATTTCAAATCCACATGCCTGGCTTCACCCACCCAGCCTTTGAATCAGGCAGCAGGGTGGTGTGAGCTCCAGGGATGTGCATTCCTGAATGTTGAAGACTTTCTGGGTAACACTGGTGTATACCCCTGGCTAAGAACGCCTGCCTCAACACCACGTGCCTCCAGATGTGCTATCCTAAAAAAGACACACTATCACCTAGGTAATATTTGACCTGGGATGCATAACCTGAATCTAATTACAAAGAAACATCAAACACAAAAGGGGAAATGGTCTATTTTCTTAAAAAAGGGAAAACTATATTCTTCTTAAATGTCGATGTCATGAAATCAAAGAAAGACTGGAGAAACGTTCAAGATCAAGAGGCAAAGGAGCCATGACAGCTCAATGCAATACCTGATTCTAGACCACTGGAGGAGGGGAAATGCTATAAAAGACATTATTGGCTCAACTGACAAAACTGGAAAATGAATGGTAGATTAGATAAGACTATATCAATGTTAAATTTACTGAAGTTGATAATTGTATGGTTATATAAGAAAATATTCCTGGTCTTAAGAAATACACACTAAAGTATTTAGGAGCAAAGGGCTGTAATAAACGAGTATGTAATTTATCCTCAAATCATTCAGAAAACAGATTGTTGGGGTGGGGAGGAAAGGGGGCGAGGGGAGAGAGAGAACGAATGGGATAAATGCTAACAGTTGATGAATCTGGGTAAAGAACATACCAGTGTCCTTTGTGCTATGTTTGAAACTTCTGTAAGTTTACAATTATTCCAAGTTAAAAGTTAAAACAAAACAAACCTGCCTTAGACCATACAACTTCCACTACGGCAGTTATTTTAAAAAGATAATGAAGTCTCCTTCACGTTCCTGCTGCTCCCAACCCTTAGAGCCCCACTGAGCAGCTGCAGGTGGGGACACCCCTCGCCACATCCCCAGGAGGCTGGTTTTCAGCTGCATCCTCTTCAAAAACATCTTTCTTATCCTTTGGGGAATTTCTAGAGCCTCAAAAGCCAGCTGAAATGCTACCTCTTGACTGTTATTTTCTCATGCCCTTTCATTTTTTTTTTTAGTTGCATTCTTTGAGATTTGGGGGGACAGCCCCTATGCACCCTGCCCTGAGCACAGAGCCTCACCGTCCCAGGCCTCGTGAAGTCCACGCTGTGTGCCAGGCTCTGCCGCATCTGGTTACTGAAGAGGCGGACACAGACGCTCTGCAGGTACTCGGGAGTGATCTGCAAAGAGGACGTCAGGGCATCTGGTGAAAGGCACGAAACTCACCCAATGGCCAGCTGAGACCCACTGGCATTTACTAGAGCTGTCTCTCAGTGTAGTTCTGTAAGGTGCAACGATAAAATGTTGATCACTTTGCTTTCACACTGGCGCTCTTGGGAGGAGTTACAGCCTCACCTGACAGAAAAACTGCTAACCTACTAGAGGTATGATCATGGGACATCATACTCCAAATCAATTAGTTCTACTGTCATTTAAAGTAAACAAATTTTAAACTATTTTTGTAAATTCAAGTAATAAAGTCACCGGGTGGCTGTGTGTGGTGGAAGGAGCACTAGTCTTCATATATGAAGATCTGGATTCACATCCTGGACTCTGGAGAAAACCAACAGCTTTGCCTCTCGCTCACCTGACCTGTCAAGTGAGAGGAACAATGTCCACCTCTCTGGGTCACAGTGAGGGGGTAAAGGAGGTAATGGATATGCCTAGCACATGACAGGTGGCTCAGTAAATGTTTGCTGAATGAATGAGGGAATCACTTCTTATAAACTATTAAGTGCTTGCCAACATGAGGCGTGATTACTGTTACCATCAATGCTACTATATCATGTCGCTGTTCTGCAGCCTCTCTCATGCCTCTCTCAGCTGCTGTAATTCAGGATTGATGGACAACATCTAAGGTGGTAACCTCTGAATTTTTTTCTTTTCATCTTATATCTTTTTATAAAAATAACATATGCTCATTTAAAATGTACAAGTACCAATCCTTGGAGGTAACTACTATTAAAAAGCATATATTTTTCCAAACTTTTTTTCTATGCATGATGATTAGAGAGAAACCTCCTTTTCTTTTTTTTTTTTTCCTTTTTGTCTTTTTTCGTGACCGGTAACGGGATCGCAACCCTCGGTGTCGCGCCCGCACCGCGCTCAACCAGTGAGCGGACCGGTCTCTATATGGGATCCGAACCCTCGGTGGGAGCGCCGCCGCACTCCCAAGTGCCGCACTCTACCGAGTGCACCACCGGGCCGGCCCGAAACCTCCTTTTCTGCAGCTTCATAATTAGATGTGGTGAAACTTCCATACGGTAACAGACTGGCCTCTCTCCTCTCTCCCTGCCTCTCACTCAACTCATCTCTGTGAGCGGAGGGCTACGCAACTGAATGGTGAGTTGGAAAGAGCAGCGAATGCTGGGCTAGATCCTTTCCTCTCCTTGTGGGACTCTCACCTACCCAAAAGGAACTTCTGATCTGCTTCAGCCATGTAAAAGGCTCTGTCCATCCTGTGCCAGATGTCTACGATCCCCCGACACACAACTACATGTGAAGTGACAT